AGGGCTTTTTCTTTCTTTAGACACTTAACCTGCTTATGTCATGTATTACAATAGAAGTAGCAAACAATACTAATAGGCATATCAACATACTTTTTCTCCTTTTGGAACTTCTTCTTAAAACCTAAACCTTATGTTCTTTTAGTCTGAGCATTAGCAATCCAGTCTGGAACTTTATATTCTATTGGTTGCTTACCTTTCCTAGCTCTCTCAAGTTCCCCCCTCAAGGCTTGCTTCATCTATTTTTAATTACACCAAATCAGAATTCAATTTCAAAATTTGGATATTGAAAAAGTTGAGGAACTTCAGAGTTAGGAGTATCTACACTGAGTTTTAACAAAGATAGTTCCACATTCAAAAGTATGTTATCTTGTTTTAGTTTTTCAGCAGTTTTTTTTTTAAAATAACATTATCATCAAATAGACTAAAGAATCTTTTTTTAATATCAAACTTCATCTTGTCTAGCCATTCACGGTGTTCTTTATAAGTTGTTAAAGCCTTGTCACTTAGCTGTTTGGATCTATAAACTTCTTTTAGGTCCTCTTGAACTTCCAAAACAACACATATTAGTTTCTCTTTAGAAAAATGTCTTAGTTTGTTTTGAGAAAACCAAACCTCAGCCTCTAGTTCCTTCAGTTTGCCTTTTCATCAGTTTTGGCCATTAGGCAGAGATGTGCGGTTTCTTTAGAAGGTTGGTCTTCTTCTAAATCTGTGTCTCCCCAGGCATCCAACATAGCCTTCTTAACATTGTCCTTAGTAAAAAATAGCTTATAGACTCTAGAATCTTTTTATTGATCTTTTCCTCTTATCTTTCCTTTGTCACCTTCCTTAAGTGGACAATCCTTTATGAAATGATCTTTCGAGCCACACTTGAAATAGGTAGTGTCTTTGGAACTTGTAATCTTCTTGTCCCTATCTAACTTAATGTTGTTCATCATTCTTTTGAACTTCCTTACCAGCATGGCCATCTCTTCCTCGCTCGTCAGCTTCAGATTCATTTGAGTCTTGTGCCTTAAGAGCAAGACTCTTGTTCTTGGAACTCTCTGCATTGGAACTTAGATGAAGTTCATGAGTCATCAATGATCATGCCAGCTATTCAATGTTGAACTTTGTGAAGTCCTTAGCTTCCTGCATTGCAGTAACCTTGGATCTCCATCGTTCATCTTGTGGTAGACTCCTCAAGATCTTCCTTTCTAGTTCATCTATAAGAATGTGCCTGCCAAGGAAACTCAGTTCATTAATTATATCATTGAACCTCATAAATGTTTCTTCCATGGTTTCTTTGGATTGCATTTTAAACCTCTTATATCTAGACATCAGAAAATCAGTTTTAGAACGTTTTACCTCATTAGTACCTTCATGAGTAACTTCTAGTAGATCCCAAATCTGTTAAGCACACTTGTATCCCATGATATGATTATGTTCATGGGGTCCAAGTCCACAATGCCAATATTTAATAGCTAAAGCATTCAACTCAAGTTTCTGATAGTCTTCCTTTTCATAATAAGAAATAAGTTTAGGAACTACCTCGTTTTTCTCATTGGTTGCGGTTACCTCAAAATCACCAGATTCAATTACACGCCATACTTAGTAATTTTCAGCCTTAATGAAGATCTCCATCCTATTTTTCCAGTATGTATAAAACTTACCATTAAACACAGGTGGATGTTGGGTTGAATACCCTTATTCAAGTTTCTCCTTGTAATTCATCTGTCCTCAGGAACTTACTCGACAAAGTTATCTGCTTGCTCGTGAGAACCGTGCTCTGATACCAATTCACTACTACAAAAAATAAAAGTAAAGAGACCCGTTCAAATCTACCTTAGAGATCACTTTTGAACGGGTCTCTAGCTCAGGGGTCTGTTTGATAAAGAAACCCGTCTAAGTGTGGTGGCTTGTTTGAAAAAAAGAAAAGACCCGTTATTTCAGAGATGGGGTATGTAATGTTGATAAAAAAAACTAAACCCTTAAACAGACCCATTACGATAGAAATGGGGTCGGTTTGTTGGATGAAAAAGGCCCGTCCTTAGAGAAATGAGGTCTGTTAGTAAAATATAAGAGACCCCATATTAAAGATATGGGTTCTCTTACATCTTTGGTTTGTTAAAAATAAAATTAGTGTAGAGCGGCTTTTTTTTTTGTTATATCAGATTTAAAATTTAAAATTTAAAATTTGAAATTTTATGCTCCACTAAAATTGGCGGAATTGTAAATAGATTAAAATTGGTGAAATATCATAAAAATTAATTTATACGAATCATTAACTAATTAAAATTTCAATTACAAACTAATTTACAAGTGTAGACTAAGTGAAATTGAAATTTACAAGATTAAACTAACTTAAACAAAAATAAAGAAGTAAAGCATGAACTAATAAATTGTCGGTGGAGTATCATATGCCGATTTGTAATCCTATTCCTCAAAGCTCCATAAATCCAAACTCATCATTGTAATCTGCATTGCAAGTTCATTTAAATGTCAGTACAATGAAACAAATGCAACCCAATTCTACTATAGTACATGCATACTAAATTCATTACAAAGAATCACTCAATAACGAAAATAACTAAGAAAACAAATGCAAATTAAAACGCTTAACCACTTCACTCTATCAATTTGAGCCCCATTCTAGCTTTTGCCAATTTTAATTAATCTTGATGTATAAAAGAAATTCAATTAAAAAAAAATCCCAAAAAATCAAAAGAGCTAAAGATAGAAATTAAAACATATAATAGGGATAGTAGTGAAAACAAACCAAACAGATATAGCAAAATAACGAATTATTTTAAGAAAAATAAAATCAAACTCTAGATCTCCTCTGACGAACCAAATTCCTCTTCACCGTTAAACGCCTAATCAAAATTTTTACTTAAACGGAGAAAGTACAAAATTCAGTGAATGAATTAGCAATTAAATTAAAAAAAATAATAAAATAAAGACTAGTGTTGTGTAGTTTACTGCTTGTTGCTTGAATTGGTGTTGACACAATCGATTTAGATCTAAGACAACTCAAAATTTCTAAACAAATCGTGGCTATTGATGGCATGTTCAGACCTTTTCTAGACACCAAATATTCATACCTTTTCTCAAAAAACTCTAGATCTTGAAAACAGATCTTCATTTCGGGAAAGCCAAGGGGACGAAACACTCTCCGACAGAATTAATAAATTGCAATGTTGAAGCGGTGACCATGATGAATAAATTGAAATGTATTTTAGATGAAAATGAATTGGTAAAGATCGATGATACGGAGTAGAATGATGAAGGTAATTTCAATAAATGGGTAATGGTTTTAAAGAAGAAGGGCGTTGATAACTAAGTATTTAGAGAAAGAAGGAAAGAGAGAAATGGCTGAGTACATTGAGGAAAAAAGTCTTGAAATAAATCTATTATTATATACAATAATTACAGAAGGTAAGAGATCCGTTCAACCTGGAAACGGGTCTCTTATATATCTATTGTTTTTTCCCCATAAAGTAGTGGGCCCTAGAACATATTAGAGACCCGTTAGGTTTAGCAACTGGTCTCTTATCTCTCTTCTATTTAAAGTAGTGGGGCCTATTGCACATAAGAGACCCGTTATCTCTAATATTGGGTCTCGTACATCAAACAGATCTATTATTAAGATGACGGGTCTTTTATTAGGAGTCCTTTTTCCAGATTTTGTAGTAGTGATTGTTAGTTAAGACAAACACAACAAGAGGGGGGTGAATTGTATGTGATTTCCCAGTAGCTACTTTTTGCGGAATATAAAACAGAATGTAAAGGAACTTGCAATGCACACAGAATTTTACGAGGAAACCTTTCGGGGCCCAATTGGAAGTAAAACATTGACCCCTTCTAAGGGATTTCCTAAACCAAATCACTTCACAATAATGAGGCAAACACACAAGTTACAACCTATTATACCGAGACCTTTACTCACTAGTTCCAAACCGAACTTGCTACACATTAGGACCCTATCCTACCTAATATAAGTCTCACACTTAGAGTCACTCGTAATCTCTAAGTACTAGCTCTCAACTTCACACTAGAAGCTTACACAATTGTATGCAAAGTATGTTTCACACACTCACCCAAGAACCCAACCAATACAAATCACTTGACTCCTAGTATATGAAAGGTAAGCTACGCAAGAAATTAAACCCGAAACTTATATGACAAAGATTTTAAGCTTGGCAAACTTACACGATTAAAGCACAAAATGAATTCTTCACGCATAGACTCACAGAATACTGAGAAATGAAATTTCTATTATATATACAAGGCTAGCTCGTATAGCAAGTAGCGTTTTCAAAAAGATAAACATGATAAATTAACAAAATCTCAAATCACGATTTTAAGTAAATCTTTTTTAAAGAAAATCTTTTTTGAAAATTTATTGAAGATAGATTATCATTAGGATAATATCTTTTTATAATCAGTTTTTAAGAAGCCAATCTTTTTATAAAATTTTTTTCTTAAAAACTTATCTTTTTTTTAAAAAACTTTCCTATTTAATTAGATTTGTTAAGCTCTTTGCCACGCTTCTTACAGGTTTCACGCGTTAATCATACTTATCATATTTATAGCAAGTCTACAAGATAGAATCTTAGCTAAATAAATCTGCTGCGCCAATATTCTGTAAACATAGGATGCTTGGGCTTCATGCAGTCCAGGACTAAGTTCCTGCTGTCACCTGTACTCTAGTTTGAAACTGGAATTTTGTAGGCCAATTTCCTCCAAATTTTGTTGTCTTCAACGCAGACCAAGTCAACACCTTAACTTGTTGTCTTCAAGTTCCTGTTAGGGAACTTAGATAGTTCATGTCAAAGAACTAAGTTCCTGTTAGGGATCTCTTCTGCTATCTAGTTTAACCTTTCTACGGAATCTCTTCATGTCTTCTTAGATTAGGCTAATCTTCCACCTCTTAGGTCCAGTTCACCTATTCTAGTTTAACACTTAGAAAAACCTTTTAATAGTTGAAGTTTGCTTTAAGTTTAAGTTCATCATCATCAAAACCTTTAAGCATCAACACTCATGAAACGTTTCATCTTTGGTAACAAGAAAGAACACCCAAGTAAACCTTGAGTAATCATTAACAATAACCATTATATATCTCTTACCACTTCTACTTTAGGTTCTCATTGGACCACAAAGATCCATATGAACAAGTTCCAAAGGCTATTGGTGCTTACCATTTTCTTTAACTTGAAAGAAACTCGAGTCTGTTTACCTTTGACACATGCATGAAATACTTTATCATATAGGAACTTTATGCAAGGAAGACCTTCTACTAATTCCTTGGATCTAAGCTTGTCAAGCAAGGTAAAACTTGCATGACCAAATGTTTTATGCCACAAAAGAGGATCATCCTTAATAACAATGAGACATGTTAAACTACTGTTAGGAACCTCGTTTAGATCCACAATATATTTGTTCCCTTTATGAGTTCCTTCTAATATAGTGTTCCCAATGTCATTGTGAATGATCTTGCATTTACTAGAACAAAGCTAATAGAGTTACCTTTGTCACAAACTGTCAAATACTTAACAAGTTGTGTTTGAGACCCTCGACTAAGAATACATTATCAATGGCATGGGAACTTAACCTTCCTACTTTTCCAATAGCAATTATATCACCTTTCATATTATCTCCAAAGGTCACAGTTCCACCATAGTAGGAATCCAGTGAGAGAAATCTAGATTTATCTCTAGTCATGTGCTTAGAACAACCACTGTCGACGTACCAAGTGTTGTTCCCTCTCACTGGAACCTGAATAAAGAATTTAGTATCAAGAACCCTCATGGGTTTCTGTGTAACAAACATTGAATTAGATTTCCTAACCCATATTGCTTTAATATGATTTTCATTCTTTAAAGTGCTCTTTTCTTTCTTTACACATTTACCTTGATTATATCTAGTTTTACCACTGTTTTTAACAGACAATACTACTTGGTAAGTAAACATACTTCCTTTCTTTTTGGAAATTCTTCTTATATCCTAATCCTTCAGTTCTCTAGGTTAGGTCATTAATAATAATCCAGTCAAGCACATTGTATTCAATGGGTTGTTTACCCTTCCTAACTCTTTCAAGTTCCCCTTCAGATTAGCTTTATCCATTTTTAAATCTTCTAAAAAGTTTGAATACTGATCACGAAGAGGAACTTCAGAGTTAGGAGCTACTTCACTAATTTTAAATAAAGACAGTTCCACATTCAAAAGAGTGTTGTTAGGTTTTAGTCTTTCAAGATTTTCTTTCAAATTCATATTGTCATAAAAAAGACTACAAAACCTATTTTGAATATCAAATCTCATATTGTCCATCCATTCACTGTGTTCTTTGTAAGTGTCAAGTGCCTTGTCTCTTTGCGTTTTAGCCATGTGTAGCTCCTTTAAATCTTCCTGGATATCTATACACTATTATGTATCAAGTTTTCTTTAGAGAAATGTCTCAATTCATTAGAAGATACCATACCTCATCTTCATATTCTTGTAATTTGGCCTTTTCATCTGTCTTAGCCATAAGACATATATGAGCCATTTCTTATGAAGATTGTTCTTCTTCCTCTTCTGAATCCGAGTCACCCCAAGCAGCCATCATAACCTTCTTTACGTTTTTCTTTGTGAAATAAGGCTTATAGGCCTTACACTCCTTGGTTTGATCTTTTCCTTTGAACTTCCCATTGTCATTCTCCTTTAGAGGACAGTTTCTTATGAAGTGATCTTTGGAGCCACACTTGAAATAGGTAGTGTCTTTGGAACGTACAACCTTCTTGTTCTTATCAAACCTCCTGTTGTTCATCAACTTCTTAAATCTTCTTGCTAGCATTGCCATATCTTCCTCATCAGTTTCAGATTCATCTGAGTCTTGTGCCTTAAGAGCAAGACTCTTGCTCTTGGAATTTTCCGCATTAGAACTCAAGTGAAGTTCATAAGTCATCAATGAACCTGCGAGTTGTTCCATGTTGAACTTTGTAAAATCCTTGGATTCATGCATTGTAGTGACCTTAGATCTCCATTGTTCATCTTGTGGCAGTTCCTCAAGATCTTTCTAGCATGTTCATCTATTGTAATGTGTCTGCCAAGGGAACTCAGTTCATTAATTATATCATTAAACTTAGTAAACGTTTCCTCTAGGGTTTCCTTAGATTGTATTTCAATCCTCTCATATCTTGACATTAATAAATCAAATTTGGAACATTTTACCTCATTTGTACCTTTAAGAATAACTTCCAGTAATCCCAAATTCGTTCAGCAGTCTTGTATCCCATGATTTGGTTATGTTCACGGGGTCCAAGACCATAATGCAATTATTTTTTGATAGCTAAAGCATTTAACTCATGTTTCTGATAATCTTATTTATCAAAATCAGAATTAAGTTTAGGAGCTACCTCATTATTGTCATTGGTTGCGGTTACCTTAAAATCACCATATTTAATAACACGCCAAATCTAGTAATTTTCAGCCTTGATGAATATTTTCATCATGTTCTTCAAGTAGGTATAAAACATACCATTGAACATGGGTGGTCGTTTTGTAGAATACCCTTCTTCAAGTTTCTCTTTTTAATTCATCTCTCCTCAGAAACTTATTCAACAAAATTATCTGTTTGCACGTGAGAACCGTGCTCTGATACCAATAGTTAGTTGAGAATAACACTACAAGAGGGGGGTGAATTTTAAGTGAGTTCCTAATGACTACCTTATGCGGAGTGTAAAATAGAACGTAAAGGAACTTGCAAAGCACACAATATTTTACGAGGAAACCTTCTAGGGCCCAACTGTAAGTAAAACCTCGATCCTTCTAAGGGATTTCTAAACCAAAACAATTCACTATAATAGGGCAAACTCACAAGTTAAAAACCTAGCTATTATAATCAGACCTTTACTCACAAGTTCCAAACTGAACTTGCTACATAGTAGGACCCTATCCTACCCAACCTAAGTTCCTAACTTAGATTCACTCGTACTCCCTGAGCACTATTCACTCACCTTTAACCTAGAAGTCTACAATACTGTATGCAATGATAAATTCACACATACTCACCCAAGAACCCAACAAATTACAAAATATAGACTCTATTATATGAGAGGCAAGATACGCATGAAACCCGAAACTAATATGACAAAGTGATGGACTTGTCAAACTTACACAATTAAGCACACTTCGATTTCTTCATGCATAAACTCACAGAAAAATATGAATTAGGATTTCTACAATTTATACAAGACTTGCTTGCATAGAAATTAGGGTTTTCAAAAGATAAACATGTTAATTTTCCAAAATCCTAAAACACGGTTTTAAGTAAATCCATTTTGAAGAAAATCTTTTAGAAAACTTATCAAAGATAAATTATAAAAAAGAATAATATCTTTTTGATAATCGATTTTCAAGAAATAAATATTTTTAGAATATCTTTTCTTAAAAATTTATCTTTTTAAACTTTCCAATTTTTAGAAGCTTGTCAAGCTCTTTGTCACGTTTTGAATAAATTTCACGCGTAAACCTACTTAGCATATTTATAGCAAATCTAAAAGGTAAGAACTTAAAAACTAAATTGTTGCGCCTATATTTTGCAATGTAGGATATTTGGGCTTCACGCAGTCCAAAACTAAGTTCCTGCTGTCACTTGCTCTCCAGTTTTGAACTGGAACTTCATAGGCCAAGTTCTTCCAGAACTTTCTATTTTCAACGCAGACCAAGTCAACTCTTTCACTTATTGTCTTCAAGTTCTTGTTAGGGAACTTAGTTAGTTCCTGCAAAGGAACTCTTCTTCTATCTTCCTTGACTTTCCTTGAGCTCTCTTATGGGTATTCACAGCTAGACTACTATTCCACTTCCAAAGTCAACTTCCCCTGTTCTAGTCACAACACTTAGAGAACTCTGATTAGTTTGAAGTTTTCTTTGTTTAAGTTCATCATCATCAAAACCTTTAAGCTTCAACATATAGGGATCCACTGTTGAGTAATTAGGTTTGATGATTGTAAACTAATGATGATTATCAATCGAACGTGTTTGTTAAGTTGTGCATAGAAAGAACAAAGTATGCTTGCAATAGAATACAAGGAAAGTGAGCAATGACAAGTATATATATAAGGAACCTGAGCAGTATATGATAAGCAATAGAAGGAACAAGAGCAATGATGAGTGATGGTTGATAAGCACTATGATGGCGAAGGAACCATGAAAGTAACTATGTAAATAGCTGTATTCATATGTTAGCTTCAAGAGGTAAGTATCCTATACATACGTGAGTCATGTATGTGTCGGAGTCGTTCAATTTAGTTTATTTTCTAGTTTTCTTTTAGGTTACCCAAGTTCAGATTGGTTTTGTTTTAGTTTTCTTTCTTGTTTGTATAAATATAAAAATGTGTGGCTTTAAGTTTAATTAGTTCTCTACTTTGTGTAAACAAACAAATTTCAATCTAATGTTCTCTTAAGTGTTTATGTGAAGACATGAAGTGACTTAGGTGAAGTCAATGGGTTGGAACATAGAAGACTTCAAGGGGAACAAGAGAGAATGGATGAATGAACCTAAAGAAGGTTATCCCACGAGAACCTAACCACAAAGGAACTTGACAGTTTTACCTCAAACAAGATCTAGAAGGAAACTTCGGCAAGCTTTCCCACTAGAGCCAGAGCATGTTCCCTAACAGAAGCATGACAACAAGCTTAGTGAAACTTGGCCTGCGAAGAGTGACAACAAGTTCCAGTTATGAACTGGAACTTGGCCTACGGCTCCAAAAGTGGAATGTTGCTTGAGATCCAGAATACATTAAGACTATAACAGGATTCCTGAACAAGAGTTTCAAAGAAACAACATGAAGGCAGAGAAATTGACGTATATTGCTCTAGGATTCATGTAAGTATATTGGACATAAAAGTCGATACTGAAAAAGTTTATATAGAACCAAGGTGAACTCCAAACAGTCAATGAAATTAGAGTTACTGACTTATTAGGAACTCAAATATTGTCAGAGCTCTATACCTAATAGCAACTTAAGTATGCACGTCTTTAAAAGTCGGTTTTAATTGTATTTATCTTACTTAATACGTGCATATTTTTTTAGGGATTTGGTTTTACTGAATAAAGATCTTTATTTTCTAATAAATCCCTTTTGGAAAAAGATAACTTTGTTTAGAAAGTATTTTATACAAAAAGACAGAAGTATCCAACATATTAGTTTTATCTCTTTATTCATAGATATGTATTTAGAGTTATTCAATGAGATCTTGTGATGGGAAAAACAGTTTGAGTGTTTTGTTTATTGGGATGTGAGTGAACTTTTTCTAATTCTATTCTAGCTATGAGTGCATAGTGACTGAGCTTCTAGTGAGAAGCAGAGTGTAGGCACTCTGAGTGTAGGTACTTAGGTTGGGTAAGATAGAGTTCTCTCAAGTAGCAAGTTTTCGATTTGGAACTTGTGAGTGTAGTAGGATTTCGGGTAGAACCTACGAGGTAGCAGGATTACGGATAGTGGCTTGTGAGGGTAGCAAGTGTCCAGGTAGGAGCTTACGAGTGTATCAAGTTTGCAAGTAGGAACTTATGAGAAAGGTCCATGTTAAATAACTGTAACTAAAAGTGCTTCCCTATTATAGTGAAGTGTTTTTGTTGAAAATCCCTTAAAGGGTCGAGGTTTTACTTCCAGTTGGACCTTGGAAGGTTTCCTCGTAAAATCCGCTTTGCACTGTTTAAGTTCTAGATTAAAAACTAGTTAAGCAATTACACAGATTAACATTTACATGTATACTTCTACTTCTCTCTTTCGATTCTCAAATATTTTTTTTCCATTTTTTGAATTTATTTTCAACTTAAGATAATGTTTTCATAATATTATTTACATTTAAGATACCTTTTCCATTTTGTACTTAAAAAAACCGAGGCATCACCCATGTCACAAACAGTTGTTTAATATTTTTAACAAAGATGATCAAGGCTTAAAAACAAAAAACAAAAAGTTAAATTTTCAACGGTGACCCCTTACTTCTGTTACGCATACATGGTGACCCTCATGAAAATCAAGTATACAAAATGACCTTCAACTTTAGCCCATTTATAACCTTATTTCATTAAAATGTTAATTAAAATTAACACAAACTATTGTGTGCGGGCACCCGCACCTAAGTGTTTGTTTGTCCGAAGATGACGGTGATTTGTGCGTCCGAAGATGACGATGATTTGTGCGTCCGAAGATGACGATGATGATGAAGGTGACGATGACGATGACGGAAATGGTGGGCGATTGAAACCCTAGATTTGAAAATTTGAAGATTATCATAACAAAATAAAATCAAATTTTGAATATGATAATCTTGAAACACTACCCTCTGTTTTAAGATCCATTGCAACGAATCAGATCAAAGTGAGGTATGATGATTTGTGTGTGGTGGGTTTGCTGCTGGCCGTGACTGCACTAGGCTCCGGTAGGAGCTGTGATGGTGCCCTGTGGGTTGGTGGTTAGGTGGGGTGGCGTTGATTTTTAACTGGTTCTGATGAAGAAGGAGTGAGGAGTGTCGTGGGATTTTTGTTGGCTGATTGTGGGCCTTGTGAGTGGAATTTTCTTTGGGGAAACATGAGAGATCGATGCATACATGATAAAAAATAGAGCAAAATATGCATAAAAGCCAAAAAAATCAACATATCAGCTCATAAATGTGTTATATAAGTTAATATTAGAGACACATTAAACACTAACAAAAACGTATCAGCCAACAACAAGAACTTATCAGCCAACAAAAGATACATATCAACCAACAAGAGGAATATATTAGCCAGCGTAACAATATATATTTATCAGCCAAGAGATAGAACATATCGTCCAACAAATAAAGCATATCAGCCGACAAATTAAAAGGATGAAATCAGCAAACAAAAGCAACATGTAAGCTAATAAAATAAACATATCAGCTAAAAAAATTAAACATATTAGCCAACAAATAAAATATACATATCAGGCAAAAAAAAAAAAAAAATAGCCAACTAAAGAAACATATAACCCAAATGATGTCTCATATTTGCCAACAAAAGAAACCTATGATTTTTTTTTTTAAATATATCAGCCAACAAAACAATGTATTAGCCAACACAAAATCATATTAGCCAATAAATGAACATATCGGCCAACACATAAAACATATAAGCCAACAAGTAAAACATATTAGTCAAGCTTTCCGCATGAAAATATACGTGCGGGCATCCGCACGCAATAGTTTCTCTAAAATTAATTGTGGTTATATTTATTTTTAAAAAAACACTTAAAAAAATTAACAACCACCAACTATCTACCTCCACCACCTCCTTCACCGAAACCCTAGCCCTACTACCTCCCCTAAGCCACGACAAAGGGCTAGGTTGTTAGAAAAAGAGAAGGAGGGAGGTATTCAGGGTGGTTTAGGTCTGGGCGAAGGAGAGAGAGAGGGGAAGGTCGTGGGTAATGGTTGGAGGAGGAGCAGCACAGTTTGAAGGCCGCGATGGTGTTATAGTTTAGGGCAACGGTGACGAATTGGCGGTTACTGATGTTAGGTAGATGATGAGGGATGGTGATTGGTGGTAGCGGGGTTGATGTGACTACGTTTGTCGCTGCAATTTTATGCGGGAGCAGGGGAATGGTGTATGCGGTTTGGAGGTTGGTGGTGGCTGCGAAATTGGTGGTTGTTGCGGTGGAGATGCGGGGAGGTTGCAATTATTGTTGAAGAAAGGCGATGTGATGTGGTGTTTGCTTGATGGAGGTGGCATAAGATGAGGAGGACGAGAGAGAGAAAGAGGGTCATGGGCAGGGTTTTGTGTTTTGGCTGGGTGGTGGTCAGCTGGAGCTGAGGTAGCGTTGCTGCCGCTTAAAATGGGCGGCCATTTTTCAAACCGCCAAAAATCGACCACCATCAACAACCACTAATGGTAAAAAAATAACCAGTTTAGGGTCTAAGTGGTTGATCTCAACCATAAACTTGTTGTTTTCGACCCTTAGAACCCGTTTTTTTGTGGCTGTTTTGGGTGGTTTAAAGAACGACCACCCGTTTTTGGTGGTCGTTGGGGCAAGGTTGTCGATTTTAGTGTGGGGGAAAGGGAGGGGCCGTTGAATCCGGCGGATTTGGCTAGGAACGGGGGTGTTTTGGTGGGGTCATGGCCGGCTTCGCCAAGATGGCGATGGGAATGGGGTGGCTGGGTTGTTTAGAGTTTTTGTTTTTGTTTTAATTTTTTTTATTATTTTCTTCCAATAATATGCTGACACATAAGCAATATGGACCCTACTAAATGGATTTTGAGCTTGTCCTAATGGAGTTTCGTTATGCATAGAGAAATGCAGATAAGGGGCAAGAGTGTAATTACACGTAAATGCATATTCTGAATTTACAGTAGTACTATTAGGTGATTTTTACTACCATTGGATAATCAAAGAGTACCATTGAACATTCAGTGTTACAATGTTTGCATGTAGTGTACTATATTTGCATTCAGTGGTACTAGCTGTATGTAGAAATAGTATCACTAAATAGACAATGGTATTATATAAAGTGGCACATTTAAAAGTGGTCTCACTTATCTATTTCTCTCCTCCTTTTTCTCTCTTCCATGTACCTTTTAATATTTTTATATTAGTTATGCATTTGCGAATGCATAACAAAACTCCATTAGTACTTTATCACGGATTTCATCCATAAACAATTTAAGTGGTGGTAAAAGCCATTTTAAGAAAACTTGTGGTGTTAAACTAAAAGTTTTTTTTTGGTAGTGTTAAAATCCATTTTTTTTAACTTTTTTTGTGGTGTTGAAATCTAAAATTTCCTTTATTTTTTATTATTTGTTTTAAAATAATATTTTTTAAATAAATCTAACCATAGTTAATGTTAATTAATTATTTAATGAAATAAGGTATAAGTAGGCTAAAGTTCTAAAAGAAGGTCATTTTGTATAATTGATTTTCAAGAAAATCACTATGTGTACGTATTGGGGATCACCATTGAGAATTTCTTAAAACGAAACCTTGAACACTTTTGTTGTAATATTGAGAGTTTAGACCCAATACCTTGTCAGAACATCAATTTTTTTTTTTTTTTTTATTAGACATAATGGGGGTATTGAATATAGAACATAATGCGAAAAAAACAGCTACAAATATTAACAGCAGTGTGGTTGCTGACAACTCACGACATGGTCCAACAATAAATAGGTTGTTCTAAGTGTACAAAATTAAAAGGGACTTGTAACTTTACATTATATCATAAATGAGTATCACAAGCAACGTTGGAAGGTTGTGCAGCGACCAGAAGACTTGCTAGACGGTGATCGCTTGAAAAATACTGGTGCTAGCCAAACTGTATACATGAAGACAATGAAGCTGGCTGTTATAAGCTCTAGGAACGGGAACAGTGACAACATAGCATCACTAAAGCTTAACAGAGTTAACACCTGGAAAAGTAAGGTATGAAGATACTCAATGATCAAAATACTCAAAATGAGTATTACAAGCAAAGTTTGAAGGTTGTGCAGCGACCAGAAGACCTGCTAGACGGTGATCACTTGAAAAATACTAGTGCTAGCCAAACTGTATATATGAAGACAATGAAGCTGGCTGTTATAAGCTCTAGGAACGAGAACAGTGACAACATAGCATCACTAAAGTTTAACAGAGTTAACACCTAGCAAAGAAAGGTATGAAGATACTCAATGATCAAAATACTCAAATAATGAAATAAGATGAAGTATAGATAAGATGATTTACCGTGCAATTTTAGTATAACATGACAATTCAAAGGAAAAAGTTTTCATTGGGTTCTTAAGAGGTCCTTTCTTGGCTCCAATCACCCTGTCCAAGTAATTAGTCAAGTTGTTCAGGGTCATCGCGTTAAACACAATATTACTCTCCCAACTTTTTACATTAATCAGCTTTATTTCCTTCAACGAGTGACGCCAACATTAAGATTTTGAGAGCAATAACAATTTGGTTCTTCAGCCACCAAATAGTTCAGTAGCCTCTACAACAATATTTAACAATTTAAAATTGAAAAAAAAATGGAAGCTAATAATCCTACCTTTGGGGTTTCTGCGCAAAATAATCCTACCTTTTCAAAATTCCAAAACAGTCCCACCTTTGACACCCATCTGTTCAAAACGAGCCTTTTAACCTAAAACTTGTTTAATAGGTTAATTTTTTACTTTTTCATTTTTATTAATTTTTATTTTTTTCAATCTCTCATCTCCACCTTAGCGCACCACCATAACCACCATCACTCTTCCATAAGCGCCACCACATCACCACCTTAACTCCTCTTACCACCTTCATTCTCTCTCCTAACCTCAACCACCCCACCACAGGCAACCACAAACCCAGCAACCAGACCACCCGCATCCACCCACAAACCCTTTGTCCTAGCACCAATAACCACCCTAAAACCCCGATCACCCGAGTCCCCAGCTAACCTAAAACTCGACCACCCCAAAACCCACCCCCTTTTTCTTCTTCAATTCGAAGTGGCTAGCTGGATGCTCCAACTTGTGATTTGATCCTTTGCTTGGTTGCTTCAAACGCCATCGTCAATCTTCATAATTGAACATCCAACTCAAAAAATTCATAGTAGCTGCTTCTTCAAATCAGGTTTTCGGGTTAGAATTAGGGTTTAGGCTGGGTTACCGGCAGTAATGGGGTAAGGGGAAAGCCGATCTGATGGCGGCGATGGGAGAGGGTGGGGCGGGTTTTGCTTTAAACAAAGGTGGGGGATGGTCAGAGCTGGAGGAAAGCAGGGAAAGGGAGTGGGGTGGGTCGACGCCGGAAGGGGAAGGAGTTGAATCAACGCCGGAAGGGGAGGGAGGTGTGTCGGTTGGGGAAAAGATTCGGTCGCCGGCCAAAGTGTAGAGAAGGCAGCCGGTGTCGGTGGTGCGCTATTTCGTTGAATTTCCTTTGTCCAAATTTTTTTTCTGATATTCTTCAAAAAGCAAAAAAAAATAAAAAATAAATAAAAAATAAATAAAAAAAAGAAGGTGACACGTGTCAAGTCATCTTCTTAAACCGGTTAGTAATTTGCCAAACTGGTAAAAAGCTCATATTGAGCAGATGAGAGTTAAAGGTGGGATTGTTTTGGGATTTTAAAAAGTTGAGATTGTTTTGAGCAGAAAACCAAAAAGGTGGGATTATTAGTTTCCATTTTCCCTTTAAAATTTCAAATCATACTTTGTATTAGTAGAATCTTTTCACAAAGCAGCAAAGCATTCATGCTCTTTGCTTACCATACGCAATTATGTTAAAAATTTATGCATATATGATTGTTTTTTTTATTGACATAGATATCTAATGAAATTTATGTGAAAAATATTCTCATTTCTATAAACATTAATTTTCATATTTTCATACTAATGTAATGTTCCAATTCAAATGTTAAATGATATGTTTGTTATGAGTTTTATGGCATTCGTAATTACGGTATAAGAATACATATCCGTTACAAAAATAATTACACACTTTGATTGGTTAGATGATAAATCATGTTTTTTTGCTTATTATTTTAATACATATCTTTTATTTTTATAAAATAATTTATAATTATCCACACTTATATATTTGTGTTGTATCTTTAATCAATTGTTGATTGGTCTTGTTATTAATAATAGTTTATGATGTAATTCTTGATGGTATAAGAAGAATATTTTTAGTTGTTATTGTTTATATATATTTAGTGAATATGATAGGTAAAACAAGCATTAGTTTTTTCTCTACGGGAGATAGGAAATGAATTAGTCTACTTTTATATAGTTATTTGGAGCATACACTAGTAGAAAAATACAAATAGGCAGCCCCCAATTGACACCGGTTCAGACCAAACCGGTGCCAAAAACCGGCCTCAAATTGGGCGGGGATTTAGACCAAGAACAATGGCACCGGTGCCAAAAATAACAAGGCCACCGGTTTGAACCGGTGCCACTGAACCGGTGCTACAAAAAAAAAAACCCGGATTGTTTATTTATAAACCCTAACATCCTTATTTCTCCTCTTAGCTTCTCTCTCCTCTCTTTCTCCTCCAAGGCTCCAACTGAGCGCCTCTCCTCCTTCTCCTCCAACTGAGCGCCTCTCCTCCTCTCTCCTCTCAGCTTTCCGACCTCTGTTCTCTGTCTCTCTCCCTTCTCTGTCCTCTTCTTTTGACCTGAAAACTACATCTAAGCCCGGCTTCGTCCCTCTCGCAGTAGGTACTTCTTGCTCGCCTCGCTCTTGTGACATGCATGCTATCTTAGAGTGAGGTAATTGATCTTGGAATTATTTGATCTTGGAATTAATTGATCTTGGAATTATTTGGGTTAATTGATTTTGTCATTTTTTGCACTTAATTGATTTTTCGAAATTTCTGGGTGTAATTGATTTTCGAAAGTTTTGGGGTTAAGTGATTTTCTGGGTTTGCTGGGTTTAATCGATTGCTGGGTTTGCTTCTTGGTTTAATTGATTTTCTGGGTTTAATCGATTTTCTGAATTCTGGGGTTAATTGAATTTCTGGGGTTAATCGATTTTCTGAATTCTGGGATTAATCGATTAATTCAGAAAACTCAGCAAAATTCTGGGGTAACCTAATTTTGCTGGGTTTAATCGATTGCTGGGTTTGATTTTGGGTTAATTGATTTTCTGGGTTTGCTTCTCGTTTTTTTTTTTTTTTAGTTTTAATAATTTCTGGGTTTTAATTTATGCAGGTGTTAATTCAAGCAACAAGGATTCAAGATTTCAATTTTGGAATATTATTTTGATGTTGTAAATTTTTTTTTTTTTTTTATTGTTTTACAATTTCAATTTCTGAGTTAATTATAATTCATTGTAATTTTTTTATTTTTGTTTTGTATGGTACAATAACAATTTACTTGTTGAATTACCATTGTTTTGATGTTGAATATAACAATTTCAAGAATCCTTATTTCACCATTTATTTTTGTTTGGTTCGTATTTCATGTTTGTTTGTATATTATTTTTATTATTATTGCAAGAAAAAAGTTTAAAAAAAAAAAAAAATACCAAAAAGGCACCGGTTAACCGGTGCCTAAAACAACTACCACTAACAAAAAATATTCCGCGAAATTATTTAAGGCACCGGTTAACCGGTGCTAAAACCGGTTTATGGCACCGTTTTTGAACCGGTGCCAAATAGGGGTTTTTTAGCACCCCTCAAATAGGCGGCGGTTCAAACCGGTGCCTTAGACCGGGTTTGAATAGCTGTCTAATGCGTTTTTTCTACTAGTGATAACACATTTATTTTTCAATTAATAAAATAACATTATAGAAATGCAAATGACATAAATACTATTCAAATCACATTCCTTAATTTTGTGCTCATCGGTCTAAACAAAATTTTAATAATTAAGGGCTTGTTTGGCATCATTTTTTATTTTTAGTTTTCAGTTTTTTCGAAAATAAAAAACCAAAGACAAGAAACAAGAAAAAGGTGTTTCCATTTTTCTGTTGTCAATTTCCAAAATTATCATTATCTTAATAAAATAGACTAACTTTTTATTCATTATATGACATATATCATATGATTTTGAAAAACAAAAAACCACAAAATAGAAAATCACAGCGATGCCAAACAAACCCTAATTTGTTAGATTTATTATTTAAATGAATTATCTTTGTTTTTCTACGGGATTAATAATGTTTTTGTCAATAATAATAATAATAATTTAATTTATAAATTGTGCATTGTATGGACACTATGCTAGTTGCATAGCTAAATAATTAAGGAAAATTTAACATGAATAATCCAACCTTTCGTTGGTTCTCCCAAAATAATTCAACATTTAGATTAACTTTGAATAATCCCACCTTTACCTATTATTCTCCCACACCGCCCCTAGCAGGTCACCACACCCACTATGGCATGTTGCTAAGCCACGTGTCAGTTTTTTATTGCTTTTTTTTTTTTTAATTTAAAACTTAATTTTAATAGAGAAAAAAAAAAAATCCTACAAAAATAAATCAGAAACCCTCCCTAAGCTTCTCGCCATCAACCCCACCGTCAATTCACCATCATCCTCACTGCCATAGCCCCACCAACACCACCACAACCCCACCGTCGATCTACAATCACCAAAACCCATAGCACGCAACAACCCACCGTTCCACCTTCGCACCACCATCAACCATCCCAGAAACCCCCATTGTCCCACCACCTACTATGTTCCCGTCCACAATCCACCTCCGCACCACCATCAACCAACCCACAACGTCACACCTCGCATGTTATGTTAGCTAACAGCCAAAATAACAAGCAGCCATTTGATTACCAAAAACACCAAAACAATGCAAGAGAAATGCAGCATAAGCTAAAAAATATGTCCTACACATTCTTCTCCATGACCAAGTAGCTACTTACTCATCTGTTATTGTTGCATTTGATTTAGGGAAAGAAAGGTTTAGCGAATTGTGAATTGTCACCCTCTTGTTCGGTTGATAGGAAGAAGTTTGTATTTGATCATCTTGATGAGTTGATGAAGGAGGAAGAAAGGTTTTCATGGAGAGGAAGAGAGGTTGTCATGGAGGAAGAGAGAAAAAATTAGTGGTCTTCTAAAAAAAGGAAAAAAGAAATAAAATTACCTGATCTTCAGGTAACCGGTCACTTAGGCTTAGTATGAGAGAATATACACCAAAGGTAGGATTATTCCAGGTTAATCCAAAGGTTGAATTATTTTGGGAGAACCAGCGAAAGATTGGATTATTCAGGTTATATTTTCCAATAATTAATAACTTTAAATTTGTCACTGCAATTCAAACCAATAGAAAGTAAGCAATTTTATTTTTAATTTTTTTTTTAAAAAATGAAGGCATACCTCCAAAAGTTTAGGAGAAACAAAAATGAGCTTAAATGACGGAATCCTAGGACGCGGGTTCCATAATAAGCTATTTAAAAGAGATGCATAGTTTACTGATGTGGTCAACGTATGGATAACCAACTTCATGTTTTGAGTTCAAAGTGGGGAAATTGTTTTCCAGTATAGCCCTCAGCATTGAAGGAGTTTTCCTTACCCTGACGAACAAAGAAAAATATTATCACAAAATAGCCAAAGGAATAATTATTTACAATGGAATCAAAATAGAAATTACAAAGTTGATAGACAGTTAAAATGCAGACCGCATCTCAAAAGTTAGGTCTTGAAATTTGAAATGTCCGAGAACCTTGTACAACCTCATGAACCATAAATTGCCCATATCTTCAAGAAGAGTAGAGGAGTCTGTTGTCCGATAATCAACAACACTGCTTAAATAAAAACGAGGTATGGTCTTCCCATAATATTTAAAAGATTGTAAAAGATTTTAAAATGAGCTTAAATAAAAGAATACTAGGACACGGGTAAAATAAGTATTTAAAAGAGATGCATAGTTTACAGATGTTGTTGAGTCCCTTAGGTTTTGATTGATAGTTTTGAATGATGACAAACAGCTAAGGGAAACAGGTCTTTGAAAGTGTTCAATACAGTTGGGGGAACCAACTAAAATAGAACACTGTTTTCCTAGATAAGTTATTGATTATATGAGTTATCTATTGAACTAACTTATCTATATACAGGAAACAGTTAGGATGATAAATGTGCTATGTACTGGTGGGGAACCAGTATGAACCGTTTCCTTGACTGCTATGCGGAAAAGCAGTCACATACTCTTTATTGTGCATTAACCATGTTACATGTGCAGTAGTTGAGTTGATTCCAAGACTTGGAGCATAGAAGCCTTTCGAAGATATTTCGAAGAAAGATTGTTTGCTCATAATAGAAGTATTCAAGGAAGATTCAAGTCTTGAAGATTACATGAAGAAAAGACGATTTATGCTTTAATATGTTATCTAGGTTTTCATGTAATATGCTCCGTAGTATGCTTGCATGTTTGGGTTATATAAGTGCTTAAAGGTATATTGAAGTATGATATGAAATCTGGTACAAAGTTGGAACAGGTTTCATAACATGTTTCAATTCAGGGAACCAGGTCGGGGAACCAGGTTCACTGTACGAAATATTCGAGCTGCCGTTTTGGAAAAAGATTTTACAAAAAGATTTTTTCGAAAAGATTATTTTGAAAATATTTTGTGCAGCTGGAAATAAGATGAA